AAAACCTTTTATATAATTAAGAGAAGTTTACATGTAAATGACACTAAAAATATCATATTATATTTTGAATAAATGCGAAAATACTCTTTCATCAATATTTTATTTGATTTATTATTCAAAATTATTAAATTCACAAGTAACATTTAGTTATTATTTTTTGCTGTTTGGGGGGGGGGGCGCGGGCGCGGTCATGAGGGTCTGCAGGAGTCCTCTTTTGATATTAATTTCCCCCCTGCATGTTGGTTGCAACACGTGTCAGTTTTGTTTACAACAAAAATTATATAATTTTATTAAAATGTTAAAAACATCATAGAAGAGGTGTATTGAAGTCATGTATGAATCAGTGTAATTTAGTACTATTTATTTACTATTATAGTATTAATTAATATTTTATAATATAATATATTTTCAGTTTTTTTATTTTAGTAATGTTACTATGTGCTTTTGTCATTTTATTATATTTCTATGTAGCTTTATTTTATTTTTATTTTATTGCAGTTAACTGCCAAGACATTTCTAATTTTCATTTAATTAGATTTTATTCTAGCTTTATTTTAATTAATAGTTTAATATTTAAATTACACCAGTATGAATGCAATTTTTAATGCCATCTTGAATAAATTAATACATTTAGACAAATAAAAAAAATTGAGCTTCGTGTCATCCAAATACCAACACAGACACTAAATCAGCAAGTTAGTAACTTTCCCCACCTGTGGCCTTTGTGGGGACAGATCTGCAGATGGTGTCTGGGCATAGCTTGTAGGTGTCACAATAGAGGCAAAAGCACCAGGTGCAAAGTTCCCACTGGAACTGAGAGACAAACTGGAAGGCGTTCCACCGGAGACAAAGCCAGGAGTGTTAGTGCTGATAGTGTTGGGTGGGGATGATGTGGATGTCTCTCCAGATCCATCAGGTTGGTTGGAGGAGCTCTGTGAGGAGTCCTTGAAAAGGGAACGCAGCTTCTGGTCTAAAGCATGGATGTCTTCAATTCCAGGTGGCTTCCCCTGTACATCACTCTCACCATCTCCTGTTGTAGATGGTTGCGTCACAGGGACAGAGGAGGGACCGACTTGCACCTGCTGGATGCCGGTTTGAGCTTGATCCAAGCCATTGCTCTCAGCCACAACGTTTTGAGGAGTCTGGGAAGGGGTGGGAAGTGACAGTCGACGTGCTGGTGATTCAGTTGGGGCTGGAGAAGGAGATATCCTCCCTGTTCTGGTTTGCTGAGTGGTAGATGGTGTAGGAGTGCTAACATGAGTGGTGACCACTGTCAGAGCTGCAGTGGCAGCTGGGACAGGGCTCTGGAATAACGATTGAGAAATAGGAGGGATACAGCTCTCTGGGGCAAGACCTCCAGGTGTGGCTGGTACCACAGAAATCTGGGTTGAGCCAGGGGCAAAGCTAGCTTGGTCCTGCTGAACACTGCTGGCTGATGTGGGATCAGATGCTTGAAGTGAGAATACATGAAATCAATCTTAATGTTACATGTTGGTTGGTTGGTCATACTAAAATTTATTGCCATATCAGCTTCATGAGCTATTGCACGGCAGATATAAATTAAGCATTCAACAACAAAATACCATAAATACAAGTTTAAGCAATTTTTTTTCTGAGAAAAAGTAAATCAGACCTGGTATGGAGTCTTCAAATGATGTGTTTGCAGAAGGAGGTCCAAAAAATGGCTCCCGAAGTCTTGCTTCAGGCACTGGGCTAACTATGAAGCGCCGGCCTGCTGAATGTACAACCTGTGCTGCCACACTAGGTGGCACACCTGTTAAATGTGAAATGTCAAATGATACAGGTTGCAAGATGGGGCAGATAAAATATAAGAACATCACCCCAAAATACACTTACCAGGCACACTGGATGTTGAAATTTCAGGTACTTGCTGGCTCAAATTACTGCTCACCTGAAGGGTTAAGGGGAAAATTTAATTTGTAGTCTTCAAATCATTTTTCACATTTGTTCTTTTGGTCTGAAAAATCATCAACTGTACCTGATTTTGGTTATTTTTCTGAGCCTTTCCTTTCTGATCTGCCATCTGAATGACATCTTGAACCTGCTCTATGAAGGTCTCCCGCTCGCTTTCCAAGATAAAATCACTTTTGATCTTGAAGTTACACACACAGAAGTTAGTCAAATTTTTTGTTTCTATTTATTAAATATTTAATGAAGTTAAACATCCTGGATATTGAGAGCCAAAATGGTAATGCATAAAATGCTTAACCCCCCCCCCAAATACATATTGTAATAAATATCATTGTAATTTCAAATGAAGAGGTCTCTGGCAATCAATTCACTCTACTGAAAAAAGGTGAAAGTAAGAGAAATGTGTACCATAATTTCAGCAATTTCTACAGGATTATCTCCATCCAAATCAAACTTGAATGTCACCATTTTCTTGTTGTGGGTTTCCAGCTGACATTCAGCAACTCTGTCCCCAATATTAGAAATCTACAAAAACACAGATCAATAACCCCATGAAAGTAATTATATGTACTTACTCATTTTTGTGCCTATAATCGCACTGTTATTATAGTAAAATACACACCAAAATGTAATGTGATGCCACTATTACAAACAAATCAAATTAGATTTGATTATAACTTACATTCAGCACATTGAGCTTGAGCTTGGCCAGTTTTTCGTGGCGTGAGCGACTGCGTACAGAGCGGCTCTGGGGTCGTTTTATAGAGCGACCCTCATGGCTGCCCTCGTTCCCATCGCTCAGACCAGATGCAGCATCGGAGTGACCACTGAGGACACCCAAAACATTTAGTTAAACTTCTCTGTACTAGAATGTCAATATTAATAAACATGAATTATAAAAAAGATGTTTCACCTTTCTGTGGAGGCTGGAACCAGAGATGTTTGAGGTTGTAACTGCTCTGCTGGCTGCGGTTGGGAGTGGGACACACTCACTGGTGCCTGTAATAGAGAATTAATTTAGGATTTTAGAACCCCAGTGACTTCTAATCATGATCATCCAAAACACACAATCACAGGGAGGAGACGTTTTTTGTCCAGACAAAAAGGCATTGTTGTAAATTGATGCAATGTGGATACAATCTGGAGTAATGGCTGCTGAAAATTCAGCTTCGCCATCATAGGAATACCACAGGAATTACATAAAAAATAAATAAATAAAACAGAAAATAGTTATTTTAAACTGTAATAATTATTCAGATTTTACTGTATTTTTAAATCAAATAAAATACAGCTATAAAACTGCCAAAAAATATTTTTAAAAATCATACTGACCCCAAATATTTGATAAGTACACTAAATTACTGACGTTTAAAGAACATTTTCCACATTTACTCAATTCACTGAAAACAAAGCTAATTAAGCAATTCTGTTTACCATTAACAAAACTATATTTTAAAATATGCATTATATTTTTATATGTGAAAGCATTATATCAGCCATCACAGGGTTTCTGCAGACTTGAACAAGTTAAATGTAAGACTTTTTAAGACCTTTTTAATACCACCTTATATGAAATTTAAGACCTAAACCTGTAATGGAAATACACATTTTATTACATACATATATGTAATATTTAATGTGTATAAATTACAAAGAAAACAAAATATCAGTGCTGTAATAAATGGTATTTATTACTATGATATACAGTGAACTTTTCATGTCAACAAAATTCATCTTTGCAATCCAGACATAAGCTGCATCTGAAGTGGCATTTAGATGCGTTTACACACTGTTTAATGCAGAACATGAATGCATTTAACCTGCAGTTACAAATGCATAAATAATGTTTTGATATATTAAACATAAAACATTGAATACTGATATTTGAAATAATTTTAAAAATGAAAAGATACCGGTACTTTAAATGTGAAATTAAAACCGTCAGTAGGCGGCAGTAAGTTATGACTTGAGTGAGTCAATGCGACTGAACCGAATCATTTAAACGGTTGATTCATTCAGGAACGAAACACCGTCATGTTGCTCAGAGACGGAAAACAGCACTGTGGCTTTGTTTGGAATTATTTTTGTTGGCGAAATAGTGCAAAAACAGGCAATATGGTGTCTAAAACGTACGTCTCTTAATAAAACTTCTAGTTTATTGAACTGTTGTAAAAAATCAATATCACATTTTTATATGGTAATTTTTGGAGAAAAAGGCACTCTTCCGTGTGAACTTGAGTATAAATATACATTATTTTCTGCGACCCATGTCTTGAATTTATGATCATTCTGAATGTATTTTAATAGACTGAATCATGCAGTGATCAGGCAGAGCGCACTGCAAATGCGCACGAGACTTCACGTAATGCGTGCTCTCTGTAGGTGTTTTGAATGTTTGTTTGTTTTTGCGTCGTAAGAATATTGAGTAAAATAGCTCACTTGTCATGGTGTTATTTAACTATATCATGTTATGAATAAACTAAACATTCTGAATTTTTACCCCGGTGTGTTTCTTCTGAGTTTATGTGTGCTGTCACGCTCATTTGTTCTGAAGTCTCAAGACAAACAGAGTGAGCCTCAGCGCGAGCTTGTATTCTGTATTCTGCAGTTCTCTCTGATGACGCAGTAACTTACCGCAGGAAGAAAACATCTTCGGTCAGTCCAATGATTGTAAAGTCATTAGGTCCGTCGGACTGAAGATCTTTTAGCGGTAATGAAACCAAAAATATTTAAGACCCACCGAATCCGAATTTAAGACATTAAGACTTTTTAAGGCCTTATATTAGGAAAACGTTATTTAAGACATTAAGACTTTTTAAGGACCCGCGGACACCCTGCATCAGCACTGTAGGTATTATTATCAGCACTAAAAACCCACATTGGCAAACCGCTAATTCAAACACCACAGTGTTAGGCACACTAGTACCTGACAGGCCTGATATAGAAAATAGAGCTGTTCAGCATTTGGAGGTGGTGAGAAAACAGGAGGGCTGAGTTGACATGCCCATATCTGACAAGAATGTAAGAGCAGCCAGCATGCAAGACAAGGATGGAGAAGTAAAGAACAGTAGGATTAATGTATGAACTGCCAATAAGTTGGATGTTGTGTGCAAACACCACAACATTCATCAAGCAAAATGCAGGCCAATGGAAGATATAAGGTCAGCCACCAGAGGGTACTTTTACTGTACCTGTAAGACTTGAGGGCCCTGAGGGGGAGCACTGCCATCCTGAGGTGGCTGATGGTACTGCAAGGGGACGGCAGGCTGAACGGCAGAGGGTAGAGTTGCCGCCTGACCCATCACCTGAGAAGGCAATTCATATATACTCTCATTTATGTTTAACAAACAACAGATCTATAGAGCAAGATGTTTTTGACTTCATGTTATGGATCACATGAAATGTACCTGGGGTGCGGCTGCAGTTCCAGTCTGGGTGATGGGACCCACGGTCAAAGTACTGCTCGGCTGCTGCAGAGGGGCCTGGGCTGGGTGCTGTGACTATTGAGGAAAAGCAATTTAGCAGTGAACACAAAGAAACAAGTGTTGTTTTTTCTTCAGGTTAACATGACTAGCTCTGCTTAGGGCTGGACAATAATTCAATATCAATATGTATCGCGATATAATTCTTTTCAATAACGGTGATATGGTTTTTAAACACATTTCCGATATTTCGATATACGTTACCAGTGTTTCCCATACATTAATTTATTTGTGCCGTTTGACTTCGTTGAATAAACATAAGCACTGCACGTTTCAAAATCAAAACGTGGCGCGGGTGTTTTATATGAATGTATCTCTGAAGGGAACCGACTGTCTTCAGAAAAGTTGATGACATTTTCATTTGATCTGATAAAGTAGCGTTCATGAGCGGAGCTGCTTTGATTACAGCCGTTACTGGAGAAACCACAAGTTCTACCGCTCTCAATGCACCTCCTGCTGGCAGACAATCAGTTTTTCAATTTTCAATAAGCCCGTCTCCAGCAACATGTTTTTGTTGTTGCTCTTTTTTTCTGCAGCAACTCAGAGCACTTTTCATATTCTTTATCCTGGCTGAAGCACATTTGTTTCAATCTATAACAATAATCAGCCACCCTACATTACAGTCAAAGGTTTTTGAACAGTAAGATTAAAAAATTTAGTTTTTTTAAGAATTCTCTTCTGCTCACCAAGTCTGCATTTATTTGATCCAAAGTACAGCAAAAACAGTAAAATTTAGAAATATTTTCTATTTGAATATATTTTAAAATGTAATTTATTCCTGTAATATAAAGCTGAATTTTCAGCATCATTACTCCAGTCTTCAG